TGTTGTTGTTGTTGTTGTTGTTGTTGTTAGTTGCAAAATCATGTCTGACCCATGGATAACATTCCTCCAGGCGTTCCTGTCCTCTACCATCCTCTGGAGTCCATTTAAACTCACACCTACTGCTTTGGTGACTCCATCCAGCCACCTCATTCTCTGTCGTCCCCTTCTTCTTTTGCCTTCAATGTTTCCCAGCATTAGGCTCTTCTCCAGTGAGTCCTTCCTTCTCATTAGGTGGCCCAAGTATCTAAGTTTCATCTTCAGGATCTGGTCTTCTAAAGAGCAGACAGGGTTGATCTCCTCTAGGACTGACCAGTTTGATAGCCTTGATTGTTGTAACTTTAAACAATACTAAATGAACTGCTGTAAGCCCTTCCTACAAATTATTCACAAGAAACAGGGCACTCACTCAGTACAGCTCTTTGCAGGCATTACCCAAACTTTATATAATACAAGGAAGACCTGGAGCTTGTGTGACTCCTTCTTGTCCTGTGAGCTGTTCTGTAGGAGTGGGCCAACACATTTCTGAACTGAGGAACCTAGTAACAGAGCTTGTAGTTGCCCAGAAGCCAAGACTCATAGAACTTTATGCAGAGTCCCCTTGTCTTTAAGAGATGTCCATGTTTAAAAATACCACTTGTAGACAGATAGCGTGAGTAAAATCAGAAGATGGAGCTGTTCTGCCTCTGCACATTCTATGATGTGTTTTGAGTAGTGCATTCTAGTAGTTCCAGAATGAAGTGGAAACGGGAGATTATTAGGACTATGAGTCCTAATGAATCAGAGAATTGTGCTTAAAGCCCACCTCACTGGACATCCAGGGTCCAACCATTTTTATAGGTGAACTTATCTTACATCTGGGAAATAGCTCTTCTGTATATCAGCATGTGTGTCAAAGGTAAAAGGGTAAAATAAAGTATCAGACCTGCCATTCAACAGGCAGAAGAGCTTGTCTCAAGCCACATTAGAGGTCATCAGGCAGCAAAATAACTCCTCGTCCCCAAATCATGCTGATAATATGCCCTCTTTTTTTTCCAACTGGGGTGCAGCTTTTGAGGGTTTTTAGCTCTTTTAGAATGCAAACTAAAGTGGCTTTTTCCAAAAATGAATTGGTCTGGAATCAAATATTTATCTGTTGATTTACCGTTTACCATTTGTGGAGTACCGGGACATTTTCTTCCTTCCCATACATTTAGAGGCAGTTAGTGTATGGTTCTAGAAGAATACATTATTTTGCTGTTGGCAAGACATCAAGATGAAAACACACTTGTTCTTGAAAACTTTCCTTATGCTGTTCGCTAGTTACAGACATTCGGTGTTGCATTAGTTTCGTTGGTTCAGTGCATTCATGCAAGACAGTTAGCGCCAACATTTATTGAAACGACACTGCAGGAGCAATGACAAAACTTGCTGGTTTACTTCAGGCTAGAATGCACCACCTTTGAACTAATAAAAGGGAACAAAGTCAAACTGCGTATATGGCACTACTCTAAACATCAGTCACAGCTAGTTTATTTGATAAAATTGTGATTCTTTTTATTGCTGAGGCTAGGCAGCCAGGGAGAATCTGGGAGGCTGGTCTCCATCAATCATTTTGTAGGAGAGCTGGGTGCAGGGAAAAGGAAAAAACTCATAGCTCCTTCTATTAAGTGAGAATTGCTCAGTGAGTTTATTCCATTACCTCCCTTGGAGATAATGTTTCTGAAGCTGAGGATGATTTTTAATTTCTAAAAAAATAAGCATTCTGAATTCTGACATAAATGGAAAGTGCAAACGGAAACGTTAAGGTATAAGAAAGATGTGATAGCTCAGTTTCAAAAGTAGCAAGGAAAGGATGGTGGCTAAACCATGCTTAAAACTGGTTAGAATATGAAACAAAATGAAGCAAAGTGAAACAAAACTCTCTCTGTTCTTGTTTACAAATGAATTGTAGAGGTTTTGAACTTAGAGCAAAATGGATTTTGAATCGGCTCCATGCTCCTAGTCCTTTATTATTATTATTATTTTTAGAACTAACAGTGATAATAGTATTGACACTACAGTTGGGATAGGTTTTTTCATCTGAAGAACATTGCAGGCTTATGCAGCATGAGGTTTACTTCTGAGCCACAGAAAACAAGAACTTCTCATATTGTTAGTGAAATCTTGTAATCATCGGTGAGATTCTAGATTTCTAAAGAGGCTGAGTCCGTTAGTAAAATTTAAACATTTTAAAAGGTAGCAGGTTGGACCTAGAACCAATCTCCCATCTGGTTGCTGATCCTTACAAACAATGAGTAAATAACGCAAGTCCAAAACAAAGCCAATTAAATAAGGTTAAATTTCTCAATTCTCAGAGATGCCACTATAATTCTTTTTTGTAGGAAAAGTTGGGTGACCAGTTGGGCTAGAAAGGTCCAATGGCGAGGTCTTGTGATGTGACATTCTCTTCTGATGACCTGAACTAGAGATAATGCGATGGGAATACAAAGATGATATTTCAGGGCTCTTGATGTTTGATTCTGGTTGTATTGCTTCTGTAATCACTCCTTGTTCAGGCTTGCCATTGGAGAAGTTCAATGAAGATACAGAATTATGTCTCTTGGACGGTGGTGGGCTGTAGTTCTGAAATCGCACTGTTTTCACTTGCTGAAAATAGAATGAAGAAATCTGGAGTTAATTTATTCTCAGAAGGCTTCCAGAAACATTGCTATGCCACTGTATAAACATATTCACAAAACAAGCAAAGTAAATTCCGTTCTGCAATTTCCCTAGAAAAATGTGAAAAGACAAGTTACCTTACCTCTCTCATAAAATATTATCTGTAATACTTTAGCATATTGGACAGAAATTTGAAATGCAATTTAATGGTTGTATCTACAGAACTAGCTTTGTTTTGGCATGTTTTTGTAAAGAAGCAAACATTTCTGAGAGGTACATTATGTGAGTCTTCTACACAATTACTGAGCCATTTATAGCTGAATTATAATAAGAGAGATCAGTAGCTGAGAGAAACCCTTGTTTGCTTGGAATAGAAACTATGCTGTGGATTAGAAAGTACGGTTCCACCACAAAAGCGCGGTAGACAAAAGCGCGGTCGACGAAAGCGCGTATGTGACGTCATCACAGCACGACGAAAAAGATCAAAAAATGTAAAAATAAAGCTAAAACCTT